AACACAACCATGTGTAGACTGTTGGACTTGATAAGCTTATAAAATCATAAAAAACAGCATTTGTTTACTTAATGAAAATGCTCATCCTCTTCACGTTGGCTTTGTCACTCCATGGTGAGGCCAAATTCTATCTAGGTTCAACATTTCTATTCAGACAATTTGGATTCCATGTATTTAATGAAATGCTTCTGATGTTAGACTTTGTTTTTGTGATTTCTGAAAAATTTTCTGAATTATTTCAATATTGTCAAAATTAATTTTGTGGCGTGATTCTAATTTTCTTTAATTAGACCTATGGCTGATGATTTCTGAAACTTTTCTGAGTCCAGTTAGATTTCTCAGTGGTCGAACAGAGGCTCTACTGTGTTTATTTCTTCTGATTTTGATTTCTCTCTGACAAGGTTTCTCCGATGCATATCGCATTACATTCTAAGCATTTTACGTTATAGACAACTCATAATGAAGAACGATGACTAATTCGCCATATGCAAGCTGCGAGTTTTAGGTGCGTCATTGGCACAGCGGTTAGGACTCTCGTTAACCATGCACATGGTCTGGAGTTCGATCCCCAGCCGACGCACCCCTTCATCTCGTTAAGCCAGTAATAAGACTGGTAAAGAGGTAAGGTTGGGCATGAGGCTAGCAACCCCATCCTGTAAAATTAAACACTACTACAGAAACTTCAAGCCACTGGGTTGAGGCCCTATGCTCCACTGGGGAACGTGAAGGAAACAAAAAAGTTTCGAGTTTATGCATTCTGGTTAATTAATATTTTGATAAAGCTATCAACAGTATTAAATATGCGAAACGTCAATAAAAACAATATCGTTTTGTTTTTCATTCATTGAGAAATACAAAAACTTTTATAATAAAGAACATCATATTACCTGATGACCAAATTTCTTCAAAATGTTAAAAATGAACCTTGGTTTGGAAACATGTAAATCTTTTTAAGCTCTAAATTCATTCAATTCTCATTACTCCCTCATGTAATTATTCCTTCATCTCGACTCCTTGTGACTTAGAATATCCAATAAAACTATAGTGTTCTTCGATATTACTATTGTTTTTGCACCTATTATCTATCTTTACTGTCTCTGTTATGCATTTCTTTTTACTTTCTTCGTCTTCTTCTCTGGCTTTGTGTGCTGAGTGAGGCGTGGCGACTCGAACTAATGTACATCAATGCAAAGTTCTATGTTGAAACGAGCCAGTCCTTCATCTAGAAGATTTTTATGTATCATGATTACTACTATTATTATTCCATTGGTCTCATAGTGGAACACAAGGGTTCAGAAGCATACACTCATTTTATCCCAATCTCTACAGTTGATGGTAAATGGTTGGAGGCTGTTGGCAGGAAGCAAGGCGTAACTGCAACCTTGAAGGAAATCATGTCCCTTCTGAGATTCGAACTTGCGTCACCCAGTGCTGCTTTCTGTCAATTGCCCCAAACCATCTATTAGCAACAATTCACAGTGAGCCGTGATGGCGAACCACCTAGAATAGTGGCCACCTTGCACTAAACAAAGGATCAAACACATCACACTAGTTACCAGTGTCCAATGGAAGTAACGAATACAGCCTTGTTGGGTTTGTCCCATGATTGCCCATAAGCTTTCTGTTCCTGTTCATACGACTTTTTTCAAATGGACTTCGGATCCATGTCCAAAGCGTTGTTTCAAACTTTGGTCCTACTCATCAACCTTTCGCGTACTATGAATTCCTTGCGTTTCTTTGTCTACCCTTATGCAGGATTTTGTAAAGGATAGGTTACTTCAACTGTTAATGCAAAGTTTTTAGAAAATTATATATTGGATTTTCAATTCACTTCGATTCCGGATCACTTTTCTTTTACTGCTTATTCTATAAAACTAAGGTAAGAGGAGGATTTTATGGAGTATAATTCCATATTAGATAGTTTCATCTCAAACAACATCCAATAGGTGATAATACAGTATTAATAATTGAATGATATGTTTCAAGAACAACAATTTATCGTTCATAATTATATCAGTGAATTCGCACAGCTTGACAAATTGCTTCATAGGCCGTACAATTAGGCGTGTTGTTCATCGAATTTCTGAACATCACCTCGTGTGGTTAAGTAAAGGATAAACAAAATCTATTCGTAGCGCTATTCTACCTCATCTTGTGGATATGGAACACTCGATTGATGTCAATGAGGCTCTCAACGTCATTTACCGCATACCAACAAAACCTAATTTGGCCTTAAGAGTTCGATTACTAAATATTGTTGAGGCTGTTTGGATCCAAATTAAGAAGCCTAATTTGTCCGTCCAAAGAAAGTTAGTTCAGACATTGTCCTTACCTGCTTGGCAATCTAGGTTCGAATGATCCTCGATTTTTGTAAAAATTTCCCTAATTTTATTTGATATCCTATTTGCTATTAATTTTTATTGTTATTATTTAAGCATCTTTAATCAACTGTAATTCCATTGATCTTATTATACAAGTTAATATTATTTAAAAGACACTAATATTGTTATTGACAACTATTCTAGAATATTCCATGTATGTAAACACACATATATATATGATTGTAGAGCTAGAAGAGGAAATTATCGAGAAGGATATTCTTTGCTCAATTATTTTGTGTTTTATATAGTTTTATCATCCCCCACCCCCACCCCCGGTAAATTTTTTGGTAATTTTACATATATTCGCGATATATGATTACGATTGTAAATTTTTTGTGTTAATTTGCTTAACGAAGATTTTGTGATACCAATGTTCAGCTAGAGCTACAATGATTGGTCATGATAAATAAAATAATGTAGAAATAAGCTAGGCCATTCTAATGCATTCACTCACATGTTATTACACAATAAGATGGGATAGAATAAAGGTATTAAAACGTTTAGTAATTTTTATATTGAAATAGTCATGATGAAATAATGAAACTAATCAAATCCTTGCAAACCAACACTTGAATATCAATGAGATGCTCACTAGTGACTGACTCTATTCAGGCAGGTAGTTACTTTTTGTGTTCCAGTAGGAAGTCGTAACCAGTAAGATACAGCAAGTCGGTGGGAGTACAAATACTCACCACCAGCGATGACATTGGCTAGTGGTCTCGCCATTTCGTGAATTGGCAGAAGTTAGAATTCATGGACCATTGGGACAGGTCTTGGTATTTGAGTGGTCTATGAGCTCGTCTTGTAATAGGAAGCTCATGGGTTCGAACCCTGTGGTGGGTGGATACTAGTGAAGGATCCCAAATTAGGATCTGCTGGTTTTCCTATGGTCGTCTAACCAATGTCAGTTTATGATGAAATCCTTTTATAGTTATGTTTGGAGAGAGAGAGAGAGAAGTTGATCATAGAAATTCTTGTTTATCGAACTGACAAGAGACATGTGCAATCAAAATAATGAAACGCCTATCTCTGATATATGATAAATTGACGTAAAAAAACTTAGTAAGGAGTAAGAGTACGTGGTACACGTTCTCAAGTCATGTGAGTAAATCGATATGATGATTATGTGAGTAGCAATAAATTGTGCTCGAAACGTCATCAGTAAATATGACTGTATGACACTGTGAGACTTTAACAAAATAAATTTATCAGAAGAATGGATACTGAACAAAGAGTACTCTTTTCGATAACTTCATCATCAGGTTCTACAGTTATATATGCACATTATAGTGAATGAATGAATTAGTGTGATGAACAACATTAATGTTGTTTAAATAATGTCGAGTCAATAATAATAATATTAATAGATTACAGTTCAATATCATCAACATAACAACAAGCTGAATGTCAGAAAAATTAGGAAAGATAATATAACATATTCATGAATTTATAGGCTCTACTGAAGGCTAAGGCAGTAATAGGGGCTGGAGTTGCTTCTTGTGAACACAGAGCACTGGTTATTTAAGGCGAATCGCAATGGCCTCTGGTGTTTGGAGCATGCGGTACTTCAATGATTTTGGCAATTTATTAGGCAATCGGTAGATGATAGAGAAGGATTCTTCCACGCTGGTTGGCTTTATGGCCAGTTTGCCCCAGATGGTCCAATATCGAACAGTTAATGGTTTTCGATACACCTTTTCTTAGCCATAGTGGGAGATGTTCTCGAGTGAGCACGAAAAATCAAGTTCCTAGAGCGACGGCCGATATAACTCGCTCCGCAAGAGCAGTTGAATTGGTAGATACAATTTGACCTGGCTAGTCTTGGCGTTTCATCTTTCAGTCAAGGTAGTACCATTGGTCGTGTACAGAAAAATACGTGTACTTTCCCAGCACCCATTAGGCAAATAAACTTATCTAATTACTCTATAACATTTCGTCACTCCTCTTCATTATATATATATATATACCTTAATTAATTACTTATCTAAGAAGCATATTCTCAACTGCAGACGGCAGCACGGTTGAGGATGCCAGAAACTTAATCGGAAAGGCAAGATAGACCTTCATCAATCCGAAATCAGTTTAGGAATTTTATACACACAGCAGAAAGAACAAATCTCGGATCTATCTGGATCAGAAACTTGACAGGCGTATCACAAAAAGCATTTCCAACAGGCTAACGCAGACTTCTGTCAACAGCTACCCGCTTCTCTTTATATTTGAATATCAGATGGCCAGAAAGAATTAGCAACAAGAAACTCTGAAGTGGAACGAATGAATCAGGAACCTATTGCTCAACATATGTGCCAAAGAAAATTGAGATAGATCGGATACACACTGAGGAGAACCCAGATGGGAATAAGGCTGAGGTGCGAGGGTGACATGGGGGAGATACAAGACTATGAGGAAATTTTGTGATCAGATAAAGAGAATCGGAGGGAGCAGAACAAAGTGGAGATGTGCTGTTGAAGAGCCCAAGGAAACAATAATAATATTCAGTCTCTTGTCCTTGTTTTACTTTTATTTTTCGGGTTCTTCATAAACTGTTTAAAATCACAGAAACAAAGCAGAGAATAAAATATTTATAATAATAATAATAAGTAAGTGTAATTAACTTACAACAGAATTTTGTGACTGTTTCACTATCTTCATGTACATAACTACGAATCACAGCCTCCTCCATAAGCTTTTTCACCTAAGTGGTTAGAAACAAAAATCCAAAGAAGAAAAGAATTGTTAATCTATTAGACTATATCATCGATTAATGAAGAAAAGAAAAGTATGATCAGTGATCCACAACGATATATCAATCAGCATTCCACTTGCTCCAACCACCCCGCCCCGGCTGTACCGATCTGTTTTATCAGCTGACTTGCTTTTTCTATTTTAATTCACGGCAAATTATCGTTAGGACATGTAGTAAATGACAACAAGTGATTCGGTTAAGAGACTGTATTTGAAATAATGATATAACTTGTGACAGAATACTTGTGAATATAATCGTAGGTAAACATGAACCGAGAAAATGCGTTATGTGATTTGTAAACCAATTCATAGTTAATTCCGTGAATGGTGACTAGCAGTGGAATCCAGAGTGTGCGTTTCATTCTATGTGAGACTTATCAGGTGGATGCACCTGCATTTCCCTAGTGGGTGAGCGACAGTATTACACCACTGAGATTCAAACCTAGTTGTAATGGAAGAATTGTTTAGAAAATCCTTACTGAACGATCTAATCACGGTTCTTATATTTCATTATGTGTTTCAACTACCTCATAATTACTATCCGTTTTTCCTCAAGAGTACATATCATTAATTTAACATTAGCACATCATTTGTTGATTTGATCCTTATTACTATACGCCTTTGCTTTTATTTAATCTCAAAATTTCAATGCTTCTCTTATTGTGGTTGTGTGATGATATTGTTGATTTGTGTTGTTTAACGATTCCCAGCACTTCTATACCATATATTCTCATTTCTTTGGCTACCTGAGCAGCCTCCTCAGCTTTGTACATTGTGTACGAATATTCCACATCCATAGGTTTATTTTTACTTTCATCGATTCAAGATATATTGGCTGGATGATTGGCTTAACGAAGGTTTTCACCAGCTCACTACGTCATTTCGCCTGTCCGATTACAGCGTGGAATAAGTTCGTTTTTTTTAACATTTTTTTTGTATATTTTATATTTTTATTAGGCATTGAAGTTTCAGTAGTAGTCTGATTGGTTTTGTGGTGTAGGGTCACCAGCCCCACTCCCAACACTACCTCTTTATTTGGGCTTGGAATCGTCTAAAAGTTAGCGAACTAGTCAACTGGGCGAGATGATGATAGATAGGGAATACGTTGAGGACGCCGTTGAATGATATCGCGATTAATGCAGGCCATCGCTCGAGTGGAATACCAATGGGAAACGACGAGTGGGTCGTCAGTGTGAAGGTGACATGAAGGAGATTATATGGTGAAGAGGAGATGAAAGATAACGATCAATCGTCGACTCAGATGAAGAGGACAACAGAAAGAAGATGTGTTGTTGAAGCCCTAAATTCCACTTGGAACCAAAAGCGAATAATAATAATAATAATAGCTTGATAATAAATTCGTCGCAAAAGCAGTCAGTTATCTTTAAGCAAAATACATTTAATTTTTATTCAAATAAGATGTGATTATATAAACAAATGATCAGGTGACTGTAAAATTTAGAATTAATTCAGTTAACATCATTGTCATCATCAATCTATCAGACAAAATTATGTTTGATAATTAGAGTTAACACGTGCACAATTCCTTTGAAGAAAAATGTTATTCTAGCAATACACGTCAGGTGAAGAAACTATGATTGTAAAGGAATAATTTTCTTCAAAAATCTTTGCTAAACGATCTATTTATACCACCTGCTAATCATTTAGACATTCCAGCCAACTTTGTAATTATGATCGTTTCCCTCCTATGGGGTATATCAAAACAACATCTGTTGACTTAATCTGTATTATCCTATGACAAAGCAATAAGGAGGAAGACGTAATTTGTCTGAATCGTGGGTAATGTATGTCTTTGCGCAACACATTTCGAACAATCTGATCACACACGCGGACTTGTCTTAGGAATATACGTATGCAATTAATAAAGAGTTAAGAGATGAGAAAATAGACTACCTAGGTCAAGTTAAAAGGACATAGTGAAGGTCAAAATAACAACGAAGATCACTGAACCAAATAACAAAGGTAATAGTACATCTGCTATGGTATCAAAACAAAACGAAGCTTACCAAGGAAAGAACCTTAGTAAAGTGCCTCTTCAGTAGAATCCAACCAATATACACTGAAGACACACTTGATGAAGAAGAAAGAAAGTTGACACAAACTCTGGTTGGTAACAATTAACCAGACAAGTTCATCAGGAGATATAAAGTAGTCAGTGGAACACCAAGACCCACTGTCCAACTCGCCCCTAAGAAAGACATGTACATCAAGCTACCCTATATGGGGGCATCAAAAACACTGTTGTTAAAAAGAATTTTTATGCAGCTAATATTATAATAATTGAGAATGTGAAGTCAGTATATCCATCCATCTACACCCTTTGAACATACGAAAAATGATGTCACATCCCATTTTATTAACCAATTTGAATGTACATTTCGACACACATACATAGGGAGGACTCATCGATCTCTGCAAGTAAGGGCTTCAGAGCATACTCCCAAATGGCTCCAGAAGAAGACAGAATCTTAAGAACCCATTAATGGTGAGAACAGGAGACCCAGCTCCTTCATTGGGAAACATATTATAGAGACAGGAAGTTAAATTGATGTCGACACCTCTTTTAAACCAATCTATAAAATGTGTTTAGGGTGTATCCCAAAGGTTGTGGAAGCCCTAGTAATTCGCCAGTGTAAACCACGTTTATGTGGTCAAAAACACGGTTATCACATTGAACTTTACTTGGTGAACTTCGTTTTGATACCATAGCAGATGTACTATTAACTCTCTTATTTGGTTTAGTGATCTTCATTGTTATTTCGGCCTTCAATATGTTATTTTAATTTCACCCAAGTTTATTTTCTCACCTCTTATCTCTTTATTAATTTCATAATATATATTCCTATGACAAGTCGGTGTGTGATCAGATTGTTCGAAATGTGTTGCGCAAATACACACTAGACGATTCAGACAAATTATGTCTTCTTATTGCTTTGAATAAATTCATAAAGGGAGCTAATGGTTTTATTAGTTTATTGTTTTAGTCTCTGGTTTCTAATGTTTCTATTTGTATTTGTGTGATGATATCGATAATGTGTGCTGTTTTATAACTACGATTTTGTTTGAGTGAATCAAGGTCATTCTGACCTTGAAATGTCTGCGTAAATTGATTGGTGTATGATTCTTGCTGATCCCATCTCGTTGAGAATATTGTAATTTATTCTAAGGTACTTCTTACGGTTGATTTTCATCAAATAAATTTTGTTGTACAGCACTTGTTTTATACTCAGGAAAGAATCGGATCTGTGTAGCTGCCCAACGGCATTAATTCGATTTTTTCATATTTTATTACTGTCAAATAGTACCTTATATATTATTGAAAATAACTGATCTTTTTGCTATCATTGGGACAGCTAAACAGTAGGAAGTAAAGGTTGGTTTACTCTGTTGAGACCATAACATTAGCTATTTCACTAAGTGTCTTCAACCATGGATGCTCAGCATCTCAGATGCTCTAGCCAGACATTGATTACCTTCGTAAATGACTCAAATTAACAGTAAAACACTATATGCATCGGTGTCTTATTTTTGTCTCGCCTCGTCAAGAATACCTTACTATCCATCTAATATGAGAGAAAATAAGAGATCAGGATATAACATAATCCCTACTTACTGTTAAAAGTTTTAAAAAAAACGCTTTGGAGAAAATAATTCATTTTTCCATTCACATGAAACGAAACTGATAAGTTTCTTAAGTGTGTACACTTTTATATCCTATTCGAAATAGAGTATTTTTAATTTATATTCAACTAATCAATTGTTAATAAGTAGGCAGTTAAATTCATCAAAACGATCATATAAGATAACATAAACTGGTCAATTACCTAACGTCTCGTATGAATTAACTATGTCATAAAGTTTTATCTGATAATTGTTTACTTAGGAAAGCTGGATAACACCTTATTCCAAGCCTATGATGTACATGAACGCCAAAGTCTGAAAGGATCAAGTGGTGTTCTTACCTATCTTGGTCACTGGAAACCACGGGAATATGGTTGCTGACGCTGCTCCATTATCTTGTGGATCAGAAATCAAATGGGTAGCACAAGGAGGGGTTTCTGTCTCAAAGTCCTGGTAGTATCTGAGCCAGGACACAAACTAAGAAATTTTGCGTGGTACGCCTCTTGGTGTCCGTAATATATCAGTTAGAAAAAGGATAGAAACCACTGGCTGATAGATGTTTTGACTTCATTACACTCTACACTTATAATCTTATCCGAAAGTTTTAACAAGAATCTATAAACATTTATAGGGTTGGTTCAGAAAAACGTTCCTTGTTGTTCGGAGTTCCATCCCTGGCCGACGCATTGCTTTATCTCACTAAGCCAGTATTAAGACTGATAAAGAGGGAAGGTTGAGCATTAGACTAGCAACCCCATCCCGTAAAAATAAATAACACCGCTACCGAAAATTCAAGCCTCTAGCTTGAAGCCGCCCTATGTTCTACTGGGAACGTAAAGGAATAAGAAATATTGTATAATGAGTTTGTAGAAGCTGGGAAATATGAGTCACTCGACTGCGATGCACTAACAGAATGGTAACTTCATCGTCAGAAGAAGTAATTACTCTCTTGGAAGCCTACTTACAACTTAGGCTATCAAAACTTCCATCTCTCTATTGCATATATTTTCTTTCGTTCACTTTGTTTTAACCGATTAAGATATGACCTCTAATGATACTATCTACTCTTGTATGTATTTTAAATGTTTACGAGGTCCTGGTTCGCAAGCTGCTACTAAACTTGAGAAATGGCATGATTGTGGATAGCAACGCGATCCATTACATGGAGATAACTGAACATCAGCTATGCCCTTCAGTCTCAAAATGTACTTCCAAACACCTTACAATTATTATTATAATTATCTCGATAAGCAGACTTATGGACTGATAAGGGACTTTGTCATGCTGAAGAGTTTCAATATATACGAATTTCAACTAGCTGCTTCATAGAATTAATATTACATAGAATCAAATTTGATGTTTACAACAAATTATACAGTTTGAGTTTTTAAAAACTATGATATGTGGCATCAAAAAATACCGTCATAATGAAAAAAATATTTATTTCAAACATATAATATAAAAACTTACTTGTACTTTTACATTGCTTAAAAGATTTTGTTTTGTATTTTGAGAATTGTTATTGTTACCACTTTTAACTATATATATAAGGGAATAGAAAATACAAAGTATAGTAGAGATATGTATATACTCTGTCAAACTATATAATAAATAGTAAAGCATTATGAATAACTGTTATTGAGGAATACTGGAAGGTTTTTTCGAGTTAGTTAGAATCCACTTACCCTGTACCAGACTATATAAGGCTGGTGATACTATATAGTTACGCAGAGCGTAGTAAGCGGAGTGAAATGCGAGCCCAGGACCCATTGACTAGAAGTTGATTATTTAAGCTTATATGAGTGACATCATACTAATTCCTTCACGTTCCAATTGTAACATAAGGCTTCAAGCTAGTGGCTTGAAGTTTCTGTAGCAGTGTTTATGTTTACAGGATGGGTTTGCTAGCCTCATGCCTAACCTTTCCACTTTACCAGCTTTATTTCTGGCTTAGTGAGGTAAAGGAATTGAACCCCGGACCATGTGCATGGTCGGCGAGCGTCCTAACCGCTGTGCCGCCGACGCACTATATTATATGTTATATATATATATATATATATATGTTATATATTATAACCTAGCAATGCAAAGAGTTTATGATTAATTTATACCTCAACAAGTGGTCATCACTATCAGCGTTCAAGTTATTGACAAAATTTCTTTCAAACCTTTCAAAAGACCTACAGATCAAATTTCGAGGTAATCCTTTATCAATAATTTCGTTAACTTTTAGAAAGAATCTCACTTTTTATACTGTAGAAAATTTCACAGTTTGATTTAATTCTAGAAATTAGTTTTTTTTTGTGCGATTAGACTTTTCAGTTTTCCATAGACAACGAGACGTCAAATCAAAGTTGAAAGATCAGAGCGATAAACAAACAAGCCTATTTTACCACAAAGATATTGAAATAAATAAAAATAAGCTCAATATTTCTCGATACAACTTTATAACAAAATTAATGAAAAATTAGGCCAGCTGGATCCTGCTGCTGCTATAACGCTCTGAGAGGCATTGGAATCATTTCAGAATGATATAGAATATTCACCACTTACGCGATGCTTAGTTGAAAAGGATAGGAATGTATTCAAAGTAAGCGAAAGAATAAAAATGTTCAGGCCGTTGAAGGCAACACACTGGGTATTATTATGTAGTGGATAGGGCAATCAATATATTAAATTCGTTTTATTCCACTGACATTTCACCACCAGTAGTCATGGAATTTCATTACAGACACAAAATCACAGTCTCTCTCTATTTGGCATGACTTCTGTGTTCCACAAATATACTCACAAAAGAGTAAATAGTTTATCACAAAATTCAAGCCGAAATAACACACGATCAGTGATATGATATACTATTTATCCTTATAACAGGAAATGTTACTCAACAAGCATTTTCAATGCCATGCAGTCAGGCTTGGTGATACTACCTGACTAATTAAACGTTGATAGGTGGAGTGATATTCGAACTCGTAACTCACTAGTTGGAAGTCAGGCACCTAGATCAATTAACCAAAGCCTGCTTGTAAGCGAGATTTTGTAGTACATTCTTGATGAATTAAACATGGACCTCCGGTGTGTCTAGTGAGTGTTGAAAGATTGAACTACTGAGGTAACAGTTGAGTATTACTTATGGTTACTACAGTTGGCTAATAACCTGCCTGGTTGGCAGTTGACTCTCATAACTCATCTGTTAGAATGTTTCAAACTAGTAGTTCGAAGGCAAATGGTTTGAGTCCTATGATGAATGAGATTTTCATTTCACCTTCAGTTATCAACATTCATTACATCAATACTTAAAGAATTGAAAAAAGGGTGGAACAAGCGTGTTAGCTTTTACTCTTAGTCATCAATAAACAAGTGATATCACATGTAATTATTTCAATCTTTTATAACTAAAAGGTAGTATATACTAGGATAAACGTTGGACCGACAGTCATACACTGAAAGATTTGGATTTCGCGGATTGATGTATCTGTAACGTCACACAAACCTGAAGATCTATGGGCAAAGTTCTTTTTAAAAAAATGCAGGGAAGACAAGTGTGGTCAAGATACCCGATCAGCAAAAACAACAAGAAGTGCCAATAACTATCTGATGGGACAGGCAACCTATCTTTGGCAGCCGTAAAATCATAGTTGATGCAAGCTCTAGAATAAGGACGTTATAAGACAGTCTTCAATTGGTTTATTTTTGGAGGATATTCAAGATCATACAACCAATCACATGTTGATTATTAATCTGGAGTTAAAATTTCCGTAAATGTGTGATATATATATATATATATATCCTGTATTTTGTATGCTAAAGGTGGGCGATGTCAGATATGTCTCAGTAAGATCTGACTTTGTGTTTATCTCAGTGTGAAGGAATACTTCTCAAGTGATCAGTTGGCTGTTGTGTCGTGATTGGAGGCAAATTGTAGTCAAATTGGACTACAACCACCCAAACCTACTGACACTTAGTTATAACACTAACAATAGCAGAAATTTCAAGGAGGTCATTTCCTTCACTTATTTGGGCAGCATTATTTCCACTACTGACAGTATAGATGAGGTTGTCAAAAAAGGCAGGATCAGAAAAGTGGGACAGATTTTCATCAGTTTGAAATCAGTGTGGGAATCTATTGTATTAAGCATAAGGAATAAGATTCACACTCTCAACAGTAATGTCAAGAAAGTTCTTCTACATGGTTTAAAGGCTTGGCAAGTGCATCACGCATACTAATTCCAACAGGCTGTTACACGGTTTCGCCAACAGTTGTCTTCGGTGCATAGTGAAGATTAAATGATCAGATAAGACAAATAATAAAAGGAATTCTGACGATGAACCAACCAAGAAACTATAGCCCATCAGATGTACAAATGGCAGTGCAAACGGATTGGTTACACGCTGAGGAGACCATTGAGTGACACTGCACATCTAGCTGGTCCTCGAGGGGGACCCTAATGCGAAATGATGAGTTGGATGTCCGAAGATGATAGATAAATGAAAGCCTACAGGCAATCGTCGAGCCAACAGGCAACAGGATGAGCTGAAGATGTGTCCATAAAGGTGTTTGTTTCATTCAGCAGCCAAGGGAATACTAATAATAATGCAATGATCAAACAATTTGTATTCACCAGTTTCTTCAATTTATGAAGTCAACATGCTGTCAAATTAAATTTTACGCAGTTACAGATAATATACAGAGTTTGTATTGAACTAAGCATAAAGGTTTCTCTTATTTTAAGCAACCTCTACAGGTTCCCCTATAAAATAGATATTTGATTTATTTAATTCAATAGTGGCAGTATTAGTGTAACGTTAGAAGATGAGAGACTCACTAAAGGAATGTTTATTCGCAATTTTGTATCTGTTTAGAGGCAAATTATGGGTAAATTTCAACGATAGCGTCACAGGATTACGAACGCTCCAATAACCTTGAACGCATGCTAGTCATTGGCTAATGGCACCTATCATTCTCATAGCTGAAATATCAACGCTATTCACCAGCCTTGCAGCAAATTTCAGCCAGATCACGATTTTTAGTACTGTTTCGACAACGTGTTAATATCTCATTATGGTTAGGAGTGGGGTTATGGTGAGTTTTGGGGTTAGGGCTAGGAGCAGGGTTATCACTAGCATTAGGGTTAGAATTACGGCGGTGATAAGGGTCATGATTAGAGTTAGGATTAAGATCAGTATTACGATTAGGGATAGATCTATAGTTGATGTCATTTATTTCAATTAGTTTTCTTATCCACATTTTCCTGGTAAGTAGTCGTCGATCCTCTTACTGGAAACCAAAGTAATTCGACCAAGGCCTTTGGGAAGGACTGCACAACAAGGTAAGAGAGATGGACGATTCACAAAAACAGCTCGCCTTCAATCACCTCGGTGAATACATGTACAGAAACTAGTCTAACTTAGCAACTGATACTCCTCATTATAACTGGAACGTATTTTAAAATCATGCCAGAGAAAGCTAACCTGTTTAATGTGTTTTCATGAGTTTCCTTGTAAATATACATCATTTTTGTGAAAACTCCTCTTTTTTATGATTAGCCGGCTGAAGGTCACCCATGCGTTCGCATCCCTTGAGGCGCTATTGTTGAATTTCGCAAAATTATGTACACCTTCAACTCACAATTTCCACAGATCTTCCGTGTTGTACTGCTTCTGCCTTTCCTTCATATTTGGTTTCTTTGTCTCCCTTTCACCTCTTCCAGTTATCTGCACAACGCTCTATCATTTACTTTCTCTCACATCAAATCTGTCTCCCTACTATATGATGTTTTAATGCCGATGAATATCTCTTAATGCACATACTACTGATAAATTATATCAGTAGCACATACCACAGTAGTACTTGTAAAGAAGTGGTAGTAAAAATAGCCTTGAATAGAAACAGAAATGAAACAGAATGCTATCAATTGTTTTTTTAAACTTTGAACTGTATGAAGGTTAAGTCTCAAAGATACTTTCAATGTCTAACTATGAAAATCTTGAACATTCATAGAGTTCTTAACTAGGGCAACTGTTAAATTTCGCAGTGAGTGTTCACGTGACTGACCGTTATAAGCAAACAAGAATGCATAAGTTATATATATATATAAAGTGAATCAATTTATTTCATGTGATAATAAGTCTAATATTAATAATTATTACCATTATAATTTATTATGGCATTTCATTTAAAAATATTCAACTATTCCTAATTTCTATTTTTGCACACATTTCATTATGTAACTAGACTTCTTCAATAGTATAATACTCAATAATAATAGCTTTATTGCAAATGGTACCTTTGACACAAAGTGGAATTTTCAGCATGTAGTAAAATATTGCATTAAATTTTCTCTTTACCTTATATAATTATGAGGGAAATACTCAACACGATATTTATGTTGATAATAATGTCAATAAGAATATGAATGGAACATTTAAATTTAAGTGGAAATATTAAAAACAATATACTACACACCTACTGCGTTTTGAAACCAGGACATTCCGGTTACAAAATGAGCTCGTATGTGGTTCAGCCACTGGGATACGA